TGACTGACGGTGTAGCCATGGCAGCGGGGCCGGGGAAGAGCCGCATAGCCCCGGCTGGGCTGGGCCGCGCCGGGAGGCTGATTTGAATATGATTTGCATATGCAAACGCCGAGGATCCGCGGGTTAGGAGGGTCTATCGCCCCCCGGGTCACCCCACGGCCCTCCCGCCCCGCACGCCCGGGAGCTGCTCTAGCTCTGTGCCACGTGAAAGGCAGCGAGGGACACACTCGGCGGCTCCATGTACCCCACGGGGCCTGCGGGCTCCTGCCGTGCTAGGCAGAGCAGAAAGGAGTCCTGAGCCCTTCCACAGGGCCTGGGAGATGATGATGGATCCAAATTCCCTTTTCCAGGGAAGACAAATGAAAATACTTCAGTTCTCTAAAGATTGTGGAAGGTCAGAAAGGACAGAGAAGATGCATCAAAAGGTTTAGAAGATACAAAGAAACAAGGGGGCAAGGATTTGGAACACATTGAGACCAAATCAGAGAATCCAAGAACGGTTTGGGTTGGAAGGACTTCCAGGACCATCTAGTTCCAACCCCCTGCCATGGCAGGCACATCTTCCACTAGACCAGGTTGCTCCAAGCCCCATCCAACCTGGCCTGGAACACTTCCAGGGATGGGGCAGCCACAGCTTCTCTGGGCAACCTGTGCCAGTACTCACCACCCTCACGGGGAACAATTTCTTCCCAATATCTTCGTAACATCTCACAATTCTCAGCTCCCTTTTATATCCCAAATTCTAGTGCTGATGCTTCCTGCTCGTTAAACCCTGACCCAATGTTTATCAACACTGAGCCAACAGCAGCAAACACTCAGGCAGCAGAGAAACTGAGGCACCCCTGAAGAGGGATGTAAGGAACAACCAAGGGGATGACATTCGGGAGGAAAAGAGACTCCCCTTGTAACACCATGGAAGGTCCTGGGTGGAATGTTACTTGGTATAAGTAACATTCTGAGCACAGCCAAGCCTGGAACTGCATCTCGGTGACCCACAGTGCTCCTCACCTGCCCTGGGGTAATCCCAGCTCAGTGCAATCCTCAGGCATTAACTCGATACCTGAGGGATCAGCCACTGTCATTCCACACAGGTATAGCGATTTCCCTGAGCATTTGCTGAGTTCTGGTCACTGGGGTGCAAACAGGACAAAGGGATGGGTCAGATTTGGTTTGTGTGATTTAACCTGCTGTTGGGTGATTGGAAGAGGTGTATAAATAGGGTTGGAAGTGATGGGAGATGAAGGATGACCTCTCTGAACATAAATAACCTCCTTCAGAGCAGAGTCGACTCACTTTTGGTAACAAAGTAACTCTGAGCTTTGAGTAGCAAAGTATTGAGCATTTTCAATGCCTGTTGAACATGTTTCTCACTCCTGGCCTGCAATTCTGGAGCTGGGAAAGCAGAAAGCAGGGGAGCTCATGGGGTGTTCCAGCTGTCAGCACACAGCAGAGTTAGAGTTAGAGGCTGTGTGGAGAGGGCACTGGAAAGGGCTGTTCCCTCATGCTCCAAAGCTTCCTGTTTGTCCCCAGAAGGCACGTGCAGTGGGGGGTAAACAGGGCCAGGCACCACAGAGGTATGGTGATATTGGTGTCTGTTTCACAGGTCAAAGCTGCTTCAGAGGACAAGGAGAGGCACCTGGAGAGCAGCACTGCTGGGATCTGAACTCCAGAGCTGAATCCAGCATGGCAAAGGTGGCCCAGGGTGGAAAAGGTAGCCCTTTTCCAAGCAGGATTCCGGGATATGATCAACCAGAGCACCTGGGAGAACCTGGATCAAGAGAAGAAGCATGAGCAGTGTTTTGGGCTTGGTGGGTACTGCCTTTGGTGCATTTTTCTTCCTAGAACTTGTCCAGTTCCTCTTTGGCAACAACAATAACATCCTGACTTCCTCAGCTCAGCTGCCTTGAGAACCATCTTCTTTGTCTTATAGAATCATAATATGTTAAGGGGTTGGAATGGACCTTAAAGGTCATCTAGTCCTAAACCTCTACTATGGGCAGGAACACCTCCCACTAGACCTGGTTGCTCAAGGCTTTATCCAACCTGGCTTCATCCTGAGCTGCTGATGAGTTTCCTACAACTAATGGGAAGACTTGCCCTGGTGGGCATCCTAGAGACCAGGACCTGAAGCCTGTCACCTCTCCTGAGGTGATGGCCTCAGTGTTGCCCTGTCACTGCCAGCAGGCCCTTCAGAGCATTCCCTCCAGCCATGGTAACATCAACCTCATCTCACATCTCATCTCCTCATCTCACAAACTCACAAAAAGTTGAGTGTGAAGCATCAAACCAATTTATTATAGTTAGTAAAAGGCTTTTTGTCCTTTTTTATAAAAGATGTGCAGGGACACAGCTCTCCCTCCTGCACCATCTCCTGCCAATGAGGCTTTAAAGTGCTACATAACAACCATGAAAATACCTCACAGCAGAAACCTGACCATGTGCTTTTACCCAGCCTGAGGTGGTGACAAGCCACCCGTTCCACAAGAGAAATTTGACATGAAAAAGCAAAGCATACAAGCTGTTGTTAGAAAATATGGAAAACCATGGGAAGAATTCTGCAGGCAAGTAAAGCATCAGAGAAGAGAGCCTTGGTATGGATGCTGCTGGCTTGGGATCTCATGGATGTCCCCTGAATCACACAGAGTGTGGAGAAGGCACATGTTCCCTCTTGTTTGTGAATGATATCCATGTTATCTAAACCACGCAAAGCAGCCCCAACATCCCCTCTCCAGGCAGAGGGAGTTGGATGTGTTTAAAAGGACTGTCCCTTCCTAGATGGATACAGCACCAGGCGCTGAGCTAAGGATGAGCATTTCGAGCTCACCTGGAGAGCAGCCCTGTCACACCAAAACCAACACCTCCCTGTTGCATATATCTATTGTACATAGTGTTTCATGGAGGCACTTCTTCGATTTGGGGGCAAAGGGAAGTGTTAGGAGGGAGGAGCAGCCATTCACTGTGTCACAGGGCTGATGGACTCCTCCCACCGCAGGATGAGCTCCAGGCACGGTGGCTGCACTTCTGACCTCCCTCCTGCTCCCTGTCAGCAGGGAGGCTGTGTTTTGGGAAGCTGTGCTGACAGCAGG